CTTACTAGATTTGATTTGATAACATTTTGTTAGGAATTTCTAGCCTGTGTCCATGAGGGATATTGGTACACAGTTTCCTTTGATGCGTTGGTAATAATGAGTTTATTAAACAATTTGAGAAAGGTTCCTATCTCTTATATTTCCTAAAGGAATTTGTATATGACTCAACTCACTTCACCTTACGTGTTACATGGAACCCACAGTGAGGCTATCTGTGCCTGTTCTTCTTAGGGAGATTTTATTTTTATTTATGTGGACATTTGTCTTTGTGTAGGGGTGGATATGTACACTATGTGTGTGGTAGTGTCCACAGAGACCAGAAGAGTGTAAAAAATCTACTGGAGCTGGAGGCACAAGTGGTTGTGAGCCACCCAGTATGAGCCCTGGGGACCAAACTTAGGTTCTCTGGAACAATAGCAAATGATCTTAACCTCTGAGCCATCTCTTTTGCCCCAAGATTTTTTAAATTGAATTTTGTAACTAGTATAAGATTATTTGTATTTTTTTCCCTTTTAGGGTGAATTTTTACCACTTAATGTTTTTCAAAGAATTATGTCTATTGATGTCTATTGTTAGTTGTTAATTTTATTGCTGTGAAATTCCTAACTTTGCGGGGGGGGGGGGGGTTGAGACATTTTCTCTGTGTAGCCCTGGCTCTTGTGGAACTACACCTGTCTCTGCCTCCCAAGTGCTGGGATTAAAGGTGTGTGCCACCACCAGCCCCTGGCTCATAACATTCTGCTATTTCCTTTCCATTACTGAAGAGTGCAGAGTGCTTAGTGAAAACAGTATTTTATTTTCTGGATCTTGTTGTATTTTACAAAGCACATTAATCTATTCAAAGAAGCAATTTTGGAGTTGAACAGTTTCATATCTATAATTAACTATCAATATTTCTGCATTTGTCTTTATTTTCTTCTTTATATTAAAACAGATTTACTTTGGTCTTTTCTACTTCTTATATTGGAAACTTAGATCCTTGACTTTTTTTATTATCTGGACCTGGCTTCTTTGGCCTTCTATGATCATATACAGTTCTACCCATTTTCCAAAGGACATCATTTCTTTCTTCTTAATGACTAAACAGTATTCTATTATATATGTGTATATATGTATATATAATATGTACAGACAGACATATTATATATATATATATAAATAAAAATTTTCACATTTTCCTTTTCTACCCATCTGTTGATAGATATTTATATTTCATAACTTGGCTATTTAGAAAAGTACTGTATAAGTGAGAATATGCAGGTTTCTCTGTGTATGCTGATTTATGCAGGTATTTATCTAAGATTAAATTTAATAATTCGATTCTGGTTTTAGATTTTTGGTTAACTTGCTTACCAATTTCCTAATATCTTCACTGAGCTACATTGCACCAATAGTGTTTAAGAGTCCGTAGTTGTTGCATCCCCATTGGAGTTTCTTGTTTGATTCCTTGATGATAGCCTTCTGATTGGGATGAGGTAGAACTTAGCATAAATTTGATTTACATTTCCCTGATGGGTCAGGATTGAACATTTTTATAGATTTATTGGTCATTTGTATTTAATCTTTTGAGCGTTATTCAGCTTATTTTCCTACTTCGAGCTTAAGCATATACAGCAGCTCTATTCTGTATGCCTAGTATTCATTGCTAATAGCTCCATCTGATGGAGGAAAGCACATTCAGATGCCAAAGAATTAATTTCCATCCAGTTGAGTAGCCTTGGACTAATTACTTCATCTTTATTTGTCTCATATTCCTCATCTATAAAATGAGATGAGAGCGGTTTCCTCATTCAGTATAACAAGAAAGTGAGCTAGCAGGTCAAGGAATGTTGACATTTAAAGCATATATTTGAAACTTAGGGACATAGTCCTGGTCCTTCAATCTGTGGTGCTTAGGCACTGCACACACCCTGCCTTCTCTTAGCTGTGTTCTCCACATCTACAAAACAAGGCCAAGTGAATCCATGATGGTCTCTGTCAGCACTGTAGGATTTACACAAATCACCAGGCACGGTGCTAGGGTTGGGACTTCAAATTATGTTCAAAACATTTTTATGCATAAAACACTTACTGTTGGACACTGTAAGTTTTCTATTTGCTTATTACCATGACTTATCATCAGACTCATCACTGATTTAAAGATCCACAGATTGGAACAAAAATAAAGAATGTGTAGCCTCAAACTCTAGCCTCATCCTTTCTTCAAGATTCTTCATATCTATGGGGTAAGAGGGAAATACCTTGACCTGATAGACAAGGCTGTTTGGTCAGATCATCAACTTTCTAGCCCCTTCAATCTCCCTGATACTTTCTCATTGTCTATGGTTCTAGCAATAAGCTGTCCCAACATATTCTATATTTCTAATATCTTTGCCTTTCTTTTCTTCTTGTTGTTCCTGTAAAGACTCCTGTGTTTACTCCTAGAAATTCTTATTTCAAGTCTAGCATAATCTCATAGGCCCTGTCTGCTATACTTCTTCCACTGCTACCCTCTGGGTCATTTGTTCAACCCCACAAGCTTCTTGTAGATATAGCCAGCCGTCTTATTAAATAAGAAACACAGAACCAATGTAAAAGAGAAAGCTGAGAGGTCAGAGCTCAGAGCTAAAATCTTACCCTTCCTCCTGTGGTGCTCCTAGCTTCCCGAAAGAGAGCTATTTCCTGTGTGTATATCTCTAAATAGTCTTTCTGTTCTGCCTTCTCATTGGTTGTAAACCCAAACACATGACTGCCTCATCACTGCCTGTAATTACAGCCCTCTAGGTCTTAAAGGCATATGTCTCCAATGCTGGCTGTATCCCTGAACACACAGAGATCTATGGGATTAAAGGCATGTGCCACCACCGCCATGCTCTTTCTATGGCTCTAATAGCTCTGACCCCCAGGGAACTTCATTTATTAGCATACAATTAAAATCACATTTCAGTACAAATAGAATACCACCATAGCTTCTCTTTACACCTCTGTTCCCATTTAGCTCTTATTTTCTTTAGCTATTCTGTTTAGTTGTGTATATGACACAATATAGTTTCTAGTTCCATTAACTTTCCTCTATTGCTGAAGGGCAGAATTCCATCACAATCATCTTTGGAATCCATATTAGCTAATACAGAGCTTGGCACACAGGTGGATCACAAGGTGCAAACAAGAGAAGGAAAGCTGATGAGAAAAACAGGAAGAATTGTGCTGTAAACTGTTCTCGGTGGGGCTCAGGCCTGTGGTCACAATAAGTGTGAGCACATGTTCTATCTAACCAACTGAGCTTCCCAGCCCAGCAACAAACAGTATCCAACAAATAGAAGAACAACTGTCTACCTTTCATCATAAGCTTCCAGGGGACTTTTATTGCATGTTGACACAACCATGATATCCTAGACAATCTGGAGCCTTTGGGGACCTGATGAGAACTTAATTCAGGGTCTATATGTTATAGATATACAAAGTGAGACCGGCATACTTCCCTCTCACCCCCACCTCAGAAAAGCATTTGACAAATAAGCATCAGAGATATGACCAGGAATGGAGGCTTGTGCCTGCCACGTCTATAACCCACTTCATTAGTTCTACTCCCATCCCAAGATGTTGTCTCATTTTCATTGTCATAGGCTAGGATCCTGGCCTTCCAGCCCCACCACCCTGTTGGACCAGTGTGTAGTGGCAGCTCATTCTAAGCATTTGTTACTTAGACAAGGAGACAAGGGACTGGCTCATTCCAAGAGACAGAAGCTACCAGCCGGGACAGTGAGCTGATGAAGCTGGAGGAACAGATCCCACAGTCAACTTTCACTTGTGATACCAATTACAAGTTAGTGGCTTCCAAAACTGCCCTCTCTCCATTTTTATAGTATTAGAAGTCTCAAAACTCACAGAAAGCTGTTACTCTGAGAGTAGGTTTTATTACATGGAAAGGGTACTAATTAAAATCAGCCAGGTGGCAAGGCAATGGGAGAGGAGTCCACAAATGCTCTAAAATGCAGTTCCCAATGCCCTCTACCTTAGAGTCACAGAATTTCTTTCACAGCACCCACATATAACAACATATATTAGAACATTGTCAACCAGAGATGTTCACTTAAGGCTTTATCCTAAGATTCTACTGGGGTCTCCATTACATAAATAAAATATAGGCAAATTCCCACCTACCTGATCTCAGAATCCAGCTCCACTTGGAGGATGAGCTAATACCTCCTGACCCATGACCCAAAGTCCCAACCCTAAATTACATTGTTAGACTCTCTGGAATGACCCCACACCTCCAGGCAAACAAAACACTCTCAAGCATGAAATTCTAAGGTCTGAGAGATTCCTTCCCAGAAATGTGGGCAAAGGCTAGACTTCTTTGGGACAAGATAAAATTCTTTGCTACCCAAAGCCCAGTACAGATATTCCTCCTGGCATACCCTGACTTCAGCCAAGCATTTGCAGAATGCCTGCACTTAGTAGTTAGATAGGCGTGTGTAAACTCCACCTGTGAGACCTCATCCCATCATGGATGGGTCTGAGTTCTCCTTAGAAAATGGAGCTAGAGATGCCCAGCCCTGTAGTGTTTTTAAAGCGCAGAGTTTGTGCCTTCAGTGCCCTATGCTAATGAACAGTAGGAATCCTAGGAATGGAGAACTCCTGTTAATGGCCCTTTCTAGTTCCTTTCTTTCTCACTCTGCTTTTTCTTTTCTCTGCTTCTTTCTCCAATGTTCTATCTTCCATTGAAATAGGAGAAAGCCACTCCACTTGCTGTGAAGAAGGAAATTTGGAATTCAAAGGAAACAAATTCACACAGTCTTCTTAGGGTAACCCACCCAGGGGATGGCATCTGACACAGTGTCCGTTTGACCATACAAGCTGTCCCATCCCGGCCTGAAATGAACAAGACTCACACTTTGTAATGACTTAGCTCTGCTCCAGGACTGGTGTAAATTAAAGATGAAAATGTGTTTTCTAAAAATACGCAGGCATCTGCTGATGTCTGCACTTGTCTTACCTTTGGTTATGCAATGGTCTTGCCTGGGCTTCTCTTCTGGGCCCACATAACCAGGGTCAGATGCCAGAAAACTTCTCTAAAGAAAGGGCCCAAGCATCTCCCTGGTTCGGAAAACAGTAGGGTTACTACACAAGGATCATCTGGAACAGACTAGAATATTGCTGACCACATGAAGCAAAGTCTTAGTAAGACCACAGAACTGACATCATACCGAGCTGGACTTACCCATCTCAGGGTGGCCCTCCTGACATTCCCTGGAATGGTCCAGGGATTTGGAGAAAGAAAAACCTTTGCCTAAACCCATACCCTATGATAGGCATAAGTCTTCCATGTAATCTCTCTCCAAAATACTCCCATTCTCCTTTCCTGGATACACATATTATAGTCATTGAAAAAAAAAAAAAAAAGGAAATTTTGTCGTTCAAAGCCTCAATTTCCAGGGTGTTAAAATTCTAAGTCACAGATTTTACCATGTGCCTACCTTTTTACCCCTTCATAGAAATGTGACATTCAGAATGATATGAATGGTATCTACATACTCTCCATCTGGGAATCCTATAGTAAGTCTGTGATACAGAATAGGCAACTGCAGCTAAGTAAGAAGACTGGACATCCATGTGCTGCTCTGACTTCTGCTGCAGGGGCTAGATGGAGAATGTGCTTCTCCAAGGTCATAGACATTCATTCACAGCACAGTGATCTCTGAAGAATGACTTCAGTATGCTAAGCCAAACATTTGTTTCCTGTATGTTCAAGCTATCTTTATACCTTGCTTCTCCTCTTTAGCTTCAAATTATACTTCAGTACATAATCCCTCATCTGTCTCATGGTCATTCATTTTCCTTCTCTTCTAGATCAGACATCATCTTCTTCAATAATTAAACTGTCTAATCATCAAGTCAGATGAATAGGTGTTCTTGCTTAACTCATTACTTCAATGGGTGCTTATTACCTCCTGCATGCAAGGGATTTGTCTTGGCATTCTAAAAAACAAAAGATTAATAGCCAAAATATTTGCCTTTCTTTAATTTGAATTTTAGTAGTGGAAAGTAAGCTATAAGCAAACAAGAAAATTGTAAAATGGTTTATTGGACAATGATAAATGTTTTTTATTCATAATCTATTCTATTTCAATTTTCATAATTATTATCTGCCAGCAATTACAATATTATTACTTTCTTTCTAATATTTATACATTTTATTTTTTAATTATTGTATTTCTTGAGATTATATTGTAATCACATCATTTCCCTTTCTTCCCTTCAAACCTTCCCATATATCCCTCATTGTTTGCTTTCAAATTCATGTCTTCTTTATTCATTAACTGTTGTTGCATACTTATACATTCCAAATATAACCTGCTCAGTCTGGATAATGTTACTTGTGTGCTTTAAGGCTGACCATTTGGTGTTGGATAACCAGTTGGTGTGCTCTTCCCTGGGGAAGACTATTTCTTCCGCTCTCATCATCCCTTAGTAGCCTGTAGTTCTTTGGGTAGGGTTGACACTTCAGGAGCTTCCCTTCACCCCGTCCATGTCAATGTGTCTGTTGTTGTCCTTGTTCAGCACATGCTTAAGCAGCCATCTTATCATGTTACTCTGCTGTGCTGGCTTCCTTTGCAAAACTAAAAATAGCCTGGTAGCATTTATGTCCCTTTATCTTCTCATCAAACATTGGCTTTGTGAGGACAAGCACTTCATCCACACGTCCTATACTAACTACATCGTCAGTTTCCATACCAGGGCTTTAGCTTCAGTGTATACTTGATGTGCATTTATGAGAAGCACAAACAATTCCTACACCCAGGCAGCCAGGAATTCCCTGTTATTGCTCTCTTGAGAATGAGCACAACACTGATAGTTTGTTTCACACATTTGCACTTTTTCATTTGTGGTTTGGAAAAATTGATAGTGACCACTGTTCTAACTCAGAAAAAAAAAAGAGCCTTTCTTTTTGCTATATCTAGATCAAAGGAAAGTTCGGCTAAACACAGGCACCAGCAGGAATTCCAAGATTCCAGGCCCAGCAGTGGAGCCTGCTCCTTCTGCAGCTGAAATCGATGCGCTCAGTTGTACTCCAATTAGCAGTGCTCCTGTTCTGCCTCCATCCCCTGATTCTGCTGTCAAAGTGTCGCACATCTCCAAGCTGGCTTTCCATCCCTAGATAGCTTAGCTTGCTGTGAAGAGCTAGAGAAGGCAGGAAAAGGGCATGGAGCCAATTAGATTGAAATGGAATGTAGTCTTTGGAGGCCCTTGTCAGGGTAAAGAATATTGGATGTTCCCAAAGATGACAGATGCCTCTTTATTTGGGCTGATCTCAGGGGTTAGAGGTCATTTGTAAATAAGATTTGCTCCATTTGGTATGGCAAATCCTGTTCTCTATGTCTTTCTTTTAAATCCCTGAGTCTTTCCCTGTGTGTTGACATGCCTACTTGCTAACAGAAAGGCCACTTGCTCTATAATGAACATTTCACTTCCTTTGAGACACCTGAGGTAGTAACTAACAGTTAGGTAGGTTTGGTAGGGCACTAACAGTCAGCCAACACTGTGCTGGGACATCACAGTGGGAAAGGAAAAGAGGAACAAATTATGGTAAGTGGATGGATGGGTGAAACCTAATAGTTATTTCTCCTGAGCTAGCTGGGAAAAGGGAAAAATAGGCTAAACTTCATTATCAATCCTTTATGTTGTTGATCAAAGCTTTTGTATGGATGATATTCCATGTGATAGAATCTTCAAAGGAAATAAGGCCCCATTATGTGTATGAACAACAGCTTTTATTTCAAGTTAGCCCAGATTCGTGGACTCTTAGAATCCATGAACTGTCCAACATGTGTGTGTTCTAATATATTTAGTTCATAACCACTTAGAGAAGGGAACTCACTGAACATGTGGGGTAGCAATTGTTCTAATGCTTTAGAATGGTATTTCACAGCAGCCCTTTGGCTGAGTCAGTGTTAGTGTTAGTCTCACATCTAGTGATAGATCTATATAAGATCTTGCCTGGGGTCTTGAGTGGCTAAGAAGGACTCAGCCAATCTGTGGCAGTGCTGTCATCTGCAATGAGGTAAGCTATATCAAATTATAGGAAAACAGATCAAAACCAGATTCTGAATTTGATGTTTTGTAAAGATGGTATATTGAAAGTTAAGAGGAGCATCTCAGAGAATTCAAGAGCAGAGATATCAGTTGTGTGTGTGTAAGGAGCTGGAGTCAGACAATGGAGAGTCATCAGAAGACTTTGCAAGCATGCAGCTGGTCTCTTGGCTCCTTGTATTTTCTCTGCAAGGCTGGCCTATGAACTCGCTCACAGCTAGAAGGTGGCCTTAAAGAAGATGAGCTCAGTGTCCCCAGCTCTTTACCTCTTCCACCTGGTTCTCATACTTAGTTCTCATCTGTCTCCCAGTCAAATGAGACTTGAAAAATAACATATGCCAATCCAAACCAACAGATATCTGAAAGTTTAATTGTATAAGTTCCACTAGGAATATTTGGTTATACTTCAGCATTTCTGAACAACCTCCAGAACTACACCTCTTTGCTTGTTGTGCTCTAATATTTATGAAAATGAACTTGGGCATATAGGAGGCACACGTGTATGCTTTATCTCAAGCAAGGCCACATTGGAAATCTAACAGAGCCCATTTTATAGCCCAAAATTTTATTTTACCATTTTATAAGAACCAACATCATGGAGACTAGAGATCTGGAGAGTCCTCTTTCAGAAGACCCAAGTTTGGTTGCCAGCACCCAAGACAGGGAGCTCACAAGTCTCTGTAACCCCAGGTGTAGGGAATCCAACACTCTCTTCTGGCATCTGAGGGCACCCCCACACACGGCAAATACAAAGTTATACATTCACATGTAAAAATAAAAATAAAAATAAAAGCCTTGCAAAAGAACCATTAGTAGGATTATTCCAGAAATTTTAACCTTCCATAAGGAGAAAACATCCCTATTCATGATTCTTTGTGTGTTCTGAATCAGTCAGTGCCATGGTTTAAACAGAGCAATATATATCCACAGACTCAGCCCATGAAGCCTCAGTTGCCAACTTTTCACATTTGAATTGTTTATTTTCTATGAATGAGTGTTTGGCCTACATATAGGTATGTGTACCATGTACATGCCTAGTGCCTATGGAAGCCAGAAAAGCATGCAGGATAGCCTGGAACTAGAGTTCATCATGAGCTACCATGTGGGTGCTAGAAACTCAAGTCTGTGTCCTCTGTAAGAGCAGCAAGAGCTTTTCACTGTTGAGTGCCCCATCTACCTTGTCTCTCTTTTGAGACAGGATCTCACTATGTAGCCCTGGTTAACCTGGAACCCACAGAGATGGGCTTGTATTTGCCCCCCAGGTATTGGGATTAAAGGTGTGCACCACCATACCTAGCTCTAGTTTGCTTGGAGGGTTTTGTTTTGTGTTGTTTGTAAATAATGTCGGTGCACACACACTTCTGAGAAACCCCATTTACAACTGGCCTACCCGCTGCAACCAGCTCTTATGCCAGTTTTCAGCTGAGTGAACTGGCACCAAGCCAGCGTAATTAACAGTCATAAGAAAGGGCAATGGGCTGAGTCATGAGATGGAATTGGTTTTGATTGCATGACTTTGGAAGTGGGTGTGCATATCCTATGCTTCTCTGCCAAAGTTACATAGTTGCCCAGGAAAGGAAAACCAATACCTCTGAAAACAAATGAAGAAGAGATGTGGTATGGCATCCAGGAAGGACTTCTCGGCACGAGCAGGGGGGTGATTCAGCCTCTTCAGGAAGAGAGGACCACACACTCAGGATAAAGCCGCAAAAAGAAAAGGAGCCAGCAAAGCATCTCTGGAGCTAGGAATTGCAAAGAGTATTTTATTTCACAAACAAGTTTCAAGATTTCTTGGCCAAAGCCTGATTGCTGAGGCTTTGGCATATATTGGCTCATAAAAAAAAAAAGTTTTTAAGTGGGTTAACGTTAATTTGAATTCAGTTCAGAGGACCCTGGAGTGAAGAAGAATGCTTAAGAAACTAGTTAGATCTTCTCTAGGAAAGAGAGCCAGTGTTTTAATTTTAAACTTCATTACATTCAGAGGGATTTTTTAAAAGTCTTTTAAAAAAGAAATTTAAAAATTATGATACATCCTTACCATTCAATATTTGATTTTTTTCTCCTTAATATGTGTCTGTAAAGGAAGATATTTAAGAAGCTTATTTTTCCTTTTACTTACGTTTGTGGTTAACGTTGGTATCTTGTGGCATGCAAAGTTTCGATATGCTTAATAGCAATTTGCAACCTCACACCAATGGGAAATAAAAGCTCACATTACATGAGTAGATTTGCCAGCAGGAAATGAATAGGTTAGGAATTGCAGCTGGAGTCTGTTGAGAGTAGCCATTAGAGCCTCGGCAGTTGGGGAAGAGTTGCATTGAAGAGTATTTTCTCAAGGAGAAAAGCTGTTCCTTGGCTGCCTTTTGTAGATGCTTCAACCCAGCATTGAAAAGGAAAGGAGGCTAGCCATCACAGTAGCACTCTTGCTTTTTCTAGAGACAGCAGAATTGTAGAATTTGGAGTTTAAGAAACACACATTTCGATCCTAAATGATCCTTTTCAACTTGATCTTTGAGAAATCACATATCCCTTCTAAGACTAGGTCTCCTCATTGTAAAGTTTTGATAATGGTGATGATGATGATGATGATGTTAGACTATACTAGGCAACACTAAGTTTTAAAGTTAATCTTCTTAATAGAACCTGGTACACAGGATGAACCAAATAAATGCTAGTCGTAGGTTTATGGTTTTATTTGCCTCGTTGGAAATTTGAGGACATTTTCCCAAATGGTGGCTCTTTATTTGTGTATCTGTTATAACTAAAAGAAGGTAGATACTAGAAAGGAAGCTGAGATGAATTACCCCTACACTGGCTTTTTTAGGAGAGTTGGGCATAGGTAGGTAGTTACAATGAGTTCCTGAAGGGAAAAAAGCAAGCCTTTGAGTCCAAAAAAAAGAGGTTTGTGAAGAGAGATGGCCTTGTGGATAGCATGACAGGGGTCCTAAAGGGAAGGTACTTTAAGTTTTCTTCGCTTCTCAGAAAATTGGGACAGTTATAGCCACCATGAAGATCATCACAGGTCCTAAAGGGAGACAGCTTTCTGTTTCCAAGAAATAAAGGGAATTCCTTGACCTAATATGTTTGGGAAGGAAAGGAAGGAGTTCTAAAACGTATGACCTAGCCTGTTCCAAAAAGGTGCTAGATCAAAGTAAATTATTATTCCAGGTCTTCTTAGGCCTGAGGGTGCTGTGGAATAATGCTTTCGTACACTGGTTTAATAAAACACTGGTTGGCCAGTAGCCAGACAGGAAGTATAGGCAGAATAAGCAAACAAGGAGAATTCTGGGAAGAGTCAGAGACACCAGCCCGCCGTCCAGGGAGCAACATGTAATGGCACACAGGTAAAGCCACGGAAAACCTGGCAACACATAGATTAACATAAATGGGCTGAGTTTAAGTGCAAGAGCTAGTCAGTAGTAAGCCTGAGCTAATGGCCAAGCAGTTTTAAATAATATAAACCTGTGTGAATTTATTTGGGTCTGAGCAGCTGCAGAAGTGGAGGGTGAAAGAGATTTGTCCTGACTGCAGGCCAGATGGGACAGAGGAAAACTTTCAGATACATGAGGGTGAGACAGGGGGCTGGACTTGCAGCTACAAGGAGGAGACTGCAAGCCTGAAGTGGGCTGCTTAACAACTCTTTGTCCAGAAAGGGAGAAGTTGTGTAGGGGTATAGCCAGATTTCAGAGACAGAGAGAGACAGAGAGAGAGAGAGAGAGAGAGAGAGAGAGAGAGAGAGAGAGAGAGAGAGAGAGAAAGAATGAGCTGGAGGATCTATCTGTTAAACATATTTATGTGGAACCTTCTCCTACTATTACTGCCCAGCATTAGAAGTCCCTCTTTTTATTTGATAACCCATCTTGGTTCAATTCAGCAAGCCCAGAGTGGTAGCACATGTCTATAAGCCCAGCACTTTGGGAGGCTCAGACAGGAAGATCATGAGTTTAAGGCCAACCCAAGCTATATTAAGAGAGTGTCAAACCAGCTTGGGGGCCATGTCTCAAAAATAAAATAAGGTCAACTGGGCAGTTAGACTGCTATTCTGTAGGTACTACTTGGGCAGACTCTAAGAAAAGTATGTAAGTATGACTAATGCCTTGGCCTTTGCCCTACTTTCCACTTGAGCACTGCTGTGCCTCAACTTACACCCTTCTTGGCAGGTGTTTCCAGCTCAGTTACCTCCCTGGATTGTGCCCTGGAGAGGAAGGACCATGACTAGTAAAAGATTTCCTTTTTTTCTGTAACTTCTAGTATGTCTCTGGGTGATTGGTCCCCCACTTGCTTTCTCCTTCACCTCAGCCAAGCTTTCTGTGGCCCTCCCAAAGTAAGATCCCACCACAGGGCAAAGCTAGCCTGCTCTTCCATTCTAGACGCAGCACCCTGCCTTCCCCACTGTATCCTAGCATCAAAGGACACTCTTGCAAGGTCACAGTACAGTATGATGTTTTCATAGTAAGGCTCTAGCCTAGGTCCTGCCCTTGTGGAGTGAGGATTCTTGGCTTCTCCAAGCCCTGCTTTCTTCATCTATACATAAAAAAAAGATTGTTTTTAACACCAAGGATTCTTCCTAGGGTGAAATAAGCTAATACATACAAATAGCTTATCTTAGTTTGTGATGTTTGATAGCATCTCAACAAGGCAGGTTTTCTGAAAAAAAAAAAAAAGTTTCATTTTTTGTAACAATCTCACATCCAAGGGCTTGAACTTCCAACAGGGGAAATCAGTTGTTTGGGATCAAGACTCTTTCTATAGAGAGAAAAAGAGTGAATAAAGTATACAAAAGATGGAGAAACGTGGGTACACATGTGTTCCCTGGAGACACAGAAGACTTAACCTCCACCCAACTGATAACATTTTAACTTGTCATTCTTATGTTTGATTTTTTTTAATTGGTTTATCACATATCCCTCCTCCTTCATTCTCTAAACCATAAGTATTGTCCTAAATTTAGTATTTAGTGTTAATTTTCATACACATTTATTTAAGTATAAACTCTAAAGGAATACTTTACATTAACAATATATAGTTTGTTTGAAACATGTATTGTTTATATATATATATATATGAATGATACTTATGATAAAAACCTAATTAACTGCTCAATATTTACTTTTCTTCTACATTGAACATAGAGTTTATTCAAGGTAGCAATGTATCTAACTCAGGAACTATACACTCCAATTTATCTTAAACAGAGGGGCAGCCAATGAGATTAAAGGTTGTAGGTCATGAGGCCTCTCCTTAAATCTTCAGGTGGACCGTGCTGGCAGGTGTACATTTGCCTGTCTCCCTTCTTTCTTTTGCCTGCTTGGAAGGAATATGACCGATGGATGATACTCCCAGATCCCTTTGATTCTTAACATTGAACAGCAATGCCAAGGATAATGGGACAGAGAAATCTGCATCCCTCATGACTTAGGACCTCCACATGGGCCATAGATCACCAGCCTCTCAAAGTGTTGTATATCATAATACTTTGTTTTCACCGCTCATAAGCTAAACCTAACACTAAATGAACTAGAACTGTACTCCATATGTCACATTTCTAGTTGAATATTGAATCCAACACTATACTTTTGTTTGTTGCTGAGGCAAGTGTAGTGTTTAAAGTAGCACTTCTGGAGTTAGACTTGCTGATCTATGGCTCTATTCTGCCACTAGCAACTGTAAGAGAGAGCTGTGGGTAATTCGACTTCTCTATACCTTATTTTGCTCATGTGTAAAACACAGATGCTGACAGTGCCCATATCACGGTCTTCAGGAAAACTGCAAGTTAATATCCACAGTGTTTGCTATGGTACCTAAAGGAAAATGAAAACTCTTAGTGAGACTTGCTATTTTTTTCTTATTTTCTATGGTGTACTTCTATCTTCATATTGCGTCCCATTCTATATATATGGTAGCATTTATTTTTTTCTTTCTAATCTTGTACAGACACTTGCATTTTTAATATTCCCAAATGGTGATGGAATTATCGTTTCCAAATATGTCTCCTTGTACACATTTGTACAGGTTTCTCCAGGGTACCCATCTAGAAGTAGAAACATTGGGTCTATAGGCATATGTACTTTCAACCTGCCTTTATAAAGTTAAATTGCTTTCAAATGTGTCAGAACAATTTGCAAATGAAAGGGTCTGTTGTACCTCATCTTTGCCAAATCTAAAATTCACTGGGCTTTCATTTTTTTTGCCAGTTTGGTAGTGTGACAGTTACGACTTCATTGTTTTAATTTGCTGATTACTAGAGAAGCTAGGAATAACTTTGTATTGAAGCCGTATGAGTTTCCCCTTCTGCTTCTATCATTCATTTTTTTCTCCTGGATTGTTGATCATTTCCTTTTCTGAATTTGGATACATGCTAATGTTACCAGCATCCTCTCCCAGTCCCTAGTTCATCTTTCCATGTTCTTCAGGAGATACACATTTTTATGTGGCTCAGGTTCATCAATTTTTCTCAAATTACCGATGTCTTTGCCTTTAAATTATAAAGCTACTCTCCTGTGTTTTCAGTCCACCCTTTTTTTCCAGGAAGGTATTTAATATACCTTGAGTTTACTTTCTATGTTTGATAAGAAGTGAAAAGTGTTCCTACTTGTTATTATTGTTGTTAGTTTGGTTATCAAAGAACTCAAAATTTATTCATCCATACATCTGTACAGACTTAAAAAGCCATAGCTGTCAAGTGTCTAGTTCTAATGCATACATTGGACTATTGTTCTATCCTATGGCATGTATCATTTGTCTGTTTGCTATCCTGATGCTGCCCAAGTCTCAGTCTCTCAAGGGTCTTTATAAGATAATTCACAAGCTTTGATTGGTTGGCATTGTGTACATAAACCATAGTTAGGATATACACTCCTTGTTGGGCAGGTCTTCTAACTCTATGGAGGACATGTCTAAGAGCTACAACTGCACAACAGATAAGAAGAATAGATTTGACTCAAAATAGCATTTTACCTCTCTTATCAACACACTCCATGATGTCTCATACTCCAAACCCATCATACCTTCTGCTACCATCAGAAACTGCCTCACATGATTATGTGCTCAGCAGTAATCCATCTCAAATTGGTCAGCAGCAAAGTCATTTGCCCTACTAATGGTCTACAGATAGAAATGTTGCCTGGATACAACATTTAGAGCCTC